TGCTGAACCTGAGGACGTGATGTGCTCCAGGCAAGCCCACCCTGCTCACACGAAGTCCACAGAGATGTGACCGGGTATCAGCTCCAAGTGGTGATGTGTCCTGGGTGTCATCTGCGGCAGAGGGATGGGCTGTGGGGAGCCTCTGCAGACACCTGCACCATCCCGCTTGGGCACGGACCGCTGCTCCTGCACCATCCTGCTTACTGGGGCCTGGCCATCTCGTCTCCAACATCGAACCTGCATCACCTTCTACGTGCACTTTCCAGTAAGTACAGGGGATGCCTGGGAGCAGGGTCCATCCGCATGCCCCCACTCCACCACCAGCCAGAGGTACATCCAGGGCCCCTCAAAGTCCCACCGCCTGCTGCCTTGCTTCTTCCCACCTGTATCTGCCCAGCAGCGCTCCCAGTGTGCATGGTTTAACTTCGGTGCAAACTGGTGGGCTGGGATACATCCCAGCCCCGCTGCCAGGTCTCTGCAAGGACAGTGGGACCACCTCTTGCTGTGGTCACCCTCCACAAGCCATGGCTCTTCTCTGTCCTCGGTCTCCTCCCTCGCTTCTCTCCTTGCTGATGCATCAGACCCAGCGCCCTGGGGTCGGGGTTCCGGCTCAGAGCTCTCAGCCACAGCCCTGGGGTACAAGCTGGGGTCTCCAGCCCAGGGGTCTCCAGCCCAGTGCTCCCCAACCTTCCTCCTTGTAGCCCTCCCCCACCCCACCCCGTGTTCGCAGGGCTCCTGCAGGGAGCTGGGGTGCAGTGGGAGACGTGCCAGCGTGAGAGGTGATGCTTGAGTGCCGAGGGGACGCAGGGAGCTCAACATGGGGCCACAGGCAGGCTTGGCTGGGCTGCAGCACCAAAGAGGGGGGGGGAGAGGACACTTGCCCTCCCCTCTGTGTGCTGGAATTGCGTCTGCCCCTTCTGCTGGACCCCCCGACCCTCCCGAGCACCCCATGCCATGCACCAGCCCTGCGTGTCGGGCTGGGAAGTGGGAAGCTGCCACAGGAAAGTTCAGGGCCAAATTCTCAGCTGAGGCAAACTGATTCCGGGCCTCTGAAGTCAGCGGAGTAGCACCCATCTGCACCAGAGGAGGATCTGGCTGTGCATATACTTTTATATATATATTTATATATATATGTGTGTGTATAGATATATTACATAAATATATATGTATGAAATAATTTAAGAAACATCCGAGACAGCATGCTGTGCTCTTGTGTAGGGCCAGGGAGGCTAGGAAGGCAGCTGCTCGCCTCCCCCTGCTCTACCAGCTTTGATTCACAAATGGAAAGAGAGTCTTGAATTAAATTAAAAACCGCACACGCACACACACGCACACGCACACACACGACACAGTGCAGAGGCTGGAAAACTCAGAGGCGTGATGCTGGAGAGTCCGCGTGTCCCTGAAGAGATCAGATCAGCTGAAGCTGAAGGAAGGGGAAATAAATAAATGAAGGGAAACCAGCGGAGGGGATCTCGCTTGTGCCAGTGCTGTCTCTGGTTTCAGGTCCCCTGTGTCTGCCCAGGCCCCTGTGGGGACACAGGGACAATGTCACAGCCCTGCTCTGTCCTGGCTGGGCTGTGGTGGAGTTGGGAGAGGCTGGTGGGACATCCATGTCCGGCTGCATTCGTCTTGGACCCCCTTTCTCCTTCACCACATGCTTTGCTTTCACTCCATCCTGGGACTGAGTTTTTTGCCATCCTCGTCTTCATGGACGGGAAAACCCAGCCCCACGTAACCCCTCTCCTCTCTCTGCAGAAAGTTTTCCTGGAGCTGGGCTTGGTACAGCTCAATCCTTCCCATTGACAGAAGACCTCTGCAGAAGACCTCCTTCCCATGGACTTTTGGAACAGAATGACATTTGAAAAACAACGCCAAAACCTTAGAAAAATCCAGCGCCACCTAAATTACCAGTTTCTTCCAAAAACTCCTCCTTTCCCATCCCACCCTCCCCAAACATCCCAGAGGGCC